GCCTCACTTGCTCACCCCTTGACCTTGTTTGTACTGTTACGTATATATATATATACCTGCTCCTGCTTGTTTAGCCTTATATATATATGTAGTCCTGCATGTGAACTGGCCTTGTGGCCTTGAACTTGTGCTCGGAATGTGTGGTGACGTTGTGATCCACCCTGAGCTTGCTTTGCTTTGCTTGACTGGTCTTGTGACCCCTTGTCCTCCCCCACTTGGCCTATGGGGGTGTGTCAGATTTATATGACTTAGCTGTTGTAGGCCTTAGTGGGGTAGCACATATGGGGTACAGCTTTCTAGGGTTTGTACTTGTACCCAACTTTCCCTTAGCCTTTCCATTCTCGTTCAATTTCACACCGGTATTTCTCGAAAATCGACATGCGAGGAGGCTACCACCAAATTCGCGTGTTCGCCGACGACTACCCGAAAACAGCTTTTCGCACACGCTACGGTAGTTACGAGTTTACGGTGATGCCGTTCGGACTGACAAACGCGTCCTCAACATTCCAGCTCACAATTAACGGAATTTTCCGGGACATGCTGGACAAGAAGGTCATCGTGTATCTGGACGACATCCTGGTGTACAGCGCGACAAAAGAGGACCATCTGCGGGATTTAGAGGAGGTGTTCCGGCGTTTACAGGGGCATCGGCTGATTACGAAGGGGTCTAAGTGCGAGTTTCTGAAGCCGGAACTGGAATTTCTGGGGCATGTGGTTTCTGACGAGGGAATCAAAATCGACCTGCTTAAAGTGGACACCATCGTTAAGTGGAAGCCGCCTACTAATATCCCTGAGTTGCAAAGTTTTCTGGGGTTTGTTAACTACGTTCGCCGTTTTGTACCTAATTTGGCAGGAATAAGCCGCTAACCGGCCTGCTGCACCACGACAGTGATTTCAGGTGGGGGGAGAGGGAGCAGTCAGCCTTCGACGCCCTCAAAAACATTTTGGGTTCGCCCCCGGTACTCCGCCTCGCCGACCCATCTCGACCGTTCGAAGTCGTCACGGACGCCAGCGATTTCGCCGTGGTGCCGTCCTGCTACGGGACTTCGCCCAAGGGCTGCAACCCATCGCCTACGAGTCACGCAAGATGCAGCCACCGGAGCGCAACTACCCAGTCCACGACAATGAAATGCTGGCCATCGTCCACGCATTTCGTACCTGGCGCTGCTATCTCACGGGAGCCGACGTGACAATTCGGACCGACCACAAATCGCTACAGTACATGCGCACGCAACCGACACTCAACCCGCGACAAATCCGATGGTTGGACTTTCTCGAGTCCAATTTTCGGTACACCATCACGTACAAGAAAGGCGCCAACAACATCGCCGACGCCCTCACCAGGCCATCCATCCAAAACGCGGCGGTACTAATCGCCCACACCAACCCGATGTCGACGGGACTATTCACCCACGGCTACAAGATCGACAGGTTTTTTCGGAACCCGCAACAACAGGCCGCCACACCGCACGGCAAGTACTACCTAAAAGTCGGTACGAACCGGATTTGTGTACCAGCATACCGACCTTTACGGGAGCTGCTGACGCAGGAGGTTCACGACTCCAACCTTTTCGGGCATTTCGGCACCGACAAAACACTGAAGCTGCTGCAGCGGAATTATTACTGGCCGGACATGCACACCGATGTGCAGCGCTACGTGTCAACTTGCCCGACCTGCCAAGCAATGAAGTCGTCGGGAGAAAGGCCAGCCGGACTGCTGCAACCCCTCGCGCCACCCGAGCGACCGTGACAACAGGTGACGATGGATTTCGTCACGGGGCTCCCAGCTGGCACGAGTGGCAACGACTCGGTAATGGTCGTCGTCGATCGCCTAACGAAAATGGCGCATTTCGCCCCATGCCGAACGACGATTACAGCCGAAGATACAGCCAAACTGTTCATCTCCTTACGTCGAAGTTCTGGCAGGAGACGTGGGCACAGTATGGTACCCGTCTGCAGTTTTCGTCGTCATACCACCCGCAAACCGACGGACAGACGGAACGGACAAATCAGACCATGGAGAAACTGATTCGCACCAACTGCCCCGATATTCGCAAATGGGAAGATTCACTGCCGATGCTGGAATTCGCATACAACAACGCCCCGTCAGCCACGACTCAACAATCACCCTTCTTCCTGAATTACGGGATAGACCCCGTGGTACCCTCTTCAACGACTGTGGAAAACCCGGTACCAAGATCGCAGCAGTTTGTCACGGAGCTGCAGACCGCCCGCACGAAAGCAGCTGATTTCATTCGTAGGGCTAATACCACGGCCAGTCGTCACGCGGATAAACATCGACGGAATCTACCCTTCCGCGCAGGGCAGGTTGTGCTCCTGGACACCAAGAATCTCAGGCTGCCGCAGCCCGCGAAACTACGGCCCCGATACGTGGGACCATTTCGTATCATCCAGATGGTGACACCTGTCACCGCGAAGCTGCTGTTGCCCGACGACTAGAAAATACACGACGCATTCCACGTCAGCCTGCTGCGTCATTACGAACAGCCGCAGTCGCCAGCTGTTGCTCGGCCAACCATCACGCCGACCACACGCCCCGTGGCAGAGCCCACGCTGGAACCTTGGAAGATTCTCAACCATCGCGTGGACGTGACTGCCACCGGCCGCTCAGTGAAATTCCTGCTTCGCTGGAAAGAACGCACGAGCGAGGACGACACGTATGTCGCCGCTGACTCGCTATTGGGACATCCGGATGTGGATGCTTACCTAGCCCGCCGAGGTGTCTCGGATATTCACCACCTTTCTTAGGGGGGGGGGGTAGTGTAAGGAATTTTTCGGATTCCTTACTGGGTCACACTGTACGCGTACAATCCCGACTTTCGGAAAACCAGGCTCGGTCCGCCGACCTCGCCTTCCTAGCCAGTACCGCGTCGCTTTCGGGTTTCCCAACCCCGAACCTGCACCCAACCATCTCGCGATCCCGCGACCTCGGCCTAGCTAGCTTCGCTATATTAGCCCTAGGCCTCGCTGTGTTCTCAGACGTTGTAATCACTTCTGCATTATTGAGTTCTGCGCACTCTTCCTTTCAGAACTCATAACACGTCCCTAGTAGGGGGAAGCTGTAACCCGAAATAGCTTCTTTCATCCATGAACTTATATACTTCACAACATGTTTACAAGCAGGCCGTCCCAAACTAAGCCAGCCCATTTTTGCAATTTGCTGATACAGTAAATGAAATTAACTCTTTTGGTTCACCATTGCATTACCTTAAGATTTGATTCTATATTCGAACGATAAATTCTTATTGCACAATGACATAACCATTGTGACGAATTTTTATACAATCAAATTAAACAAAATCCAAACATATCTCAACATAGAGTATTACAGCAAATCTTGTTTAGAGGAATGACTGGTGGGAACAGTTTAGGTCTTTGATCAATTCAAACAGGAGTGTATATGGGAGTAGTGGAAAGGAGCCGATGGTGGCAAAACAGTTACTATTTGTTTGTGTCAGGCGTTATCCAGCCGATGTCCTCGGTCATCCCACATGGCAAACTGTACATCTCATCCGTTTCAGATTGGATATTGAGGCCATCCAATTTCTGCTTGTTCGCTTACCTGTCGCCACCTCAGCAAGTTTCGCAACTATTGGTCCCACATCAGCATGCTCAACGATGCCCTGCGAGCCGAGCGCCATCACGGTTACAGCGATGACGACAACCAACAGCCACTAATCCTCTGCGACTCTCCCGAAGCGCTTTTCGCCACTCCCCATTAACGTCCACACAACCATTTCTTTCCACCTTAACCTAACCTTTCCGCCAATCACGCTGACGGGGGACAGTTATCCAGCCATTTCTTTTGCCTTCCCGCCAATTCTCTCCTCACCCTGGTCTTCCAGTCCATTTTTCCCTGGTGAGTCTGCAATTCACCCTAAACAGTTCATGGCTAAGCTACAGAAATGTCAGATCCCACACCCGCCCACACAACCTCCCACCAACCCACTCGTGCCCACCTCGAATCTCGCACATTTGGCCTATCTCTGAAGGCATTCCCAGAAATGACACTACGGTTCGACTGCCACACCCGGAGGAAAACGATGTGATGTTTGCTGTTGCTGTATTTCTGTTTCCACACACTGCCGTGGGTTCTGTATTTCTAGATTTCTGTTTCCACTGTGACTCTTCCGTCACAGTCCGCATGGCTTGCGGCCACTGTAGCAAGCATTGTTAAAATTGTGTACAATACGTTTCCTGGTTCCCTGAAACCCCTGCCTTGTTAAACTTGAGTGAATCCCGAAAATACTCTCTATCGATTTCATGTGTTTCCTCTAGAGTCTGAGGTCTGCTCTACTCCCAACACGCCTATTCGGTTGAGATTGCAGTGCAATGTCAGGATGATCTGGGACGGGCGTTCTTGCTGACCATTCCTCCAGATAAGATTGCAGCACGGGTGTTCAGTGAGAACGCACCAATGTCACCATCAATTTGGACGTTCTACCCTTGTCGTTAGTTCGTGGTGGAGGCTGTCTGTCGATTCCACTAGAGTGTGCACGCTTGAGTTCCAAGTCACTCATCATCAGTGCCTCACACTTGCGCTTCTCCCGCCCGCCATTGCGTGTAACTTCATCTCAGTTTTATGTGCAACAGGAGCCGATGCGCTTTACCACACACTTGCTCGTTGCGTAGAAGCACAGGCGCTTTCGGCCAGCACCACACGGCATTATGACCCTCGCGCATACGACCTACCTCAGCTGGTCTTGCATTTAAGACTTTCCATTCCAGCCAGTTGGTGCGCAAACATATCGAGCGGTGGCCACTACACAGGCACCCATTGCCCCCAGTAGTAGCGCGAAAGGGCCTCCGGAGCAGTGCGCGCGTACCAGCCCCCGCGAGCTATTCTGCGGCAGCCGAACCCGAGTTTTACTCGCTAATTAGGGCTACCCCACTCTTGTTTCCACCTCACACCTCCGTGCCCCCGGCTCTATATACGCCTGGTCCCATCCACTCTCCTGTTCGATATTCTCATTTGTATCATGGGGGATGTCCCGGACCCCTTGCCCCTCGTCACCCCCACCCTCGCCCCCCACCACTGCCCCGCGCTGGCCGCCATGCCAATCATCTCCGCCGCCCTTCCACCCGCCCTAGCTCCCTCCGCCGATCGCGCCGACCCCGTTCCCGCGCTTCCCCCCACGGTGCCTTCCCGCCTGCAGGCGCGGCTGTCCGCGCTTGGGCACGGCGCAGCCAGCAGTACGTGCCTGGCGGAAATGCGCGCTCTCTCTCCCCCGCGCGGCTCCTGCTCCGATGACGCGCTGCTGCGCCACAGCGCGGGTGCAGTGCCGATTGGCGGAGGGGATCGGGGAGGAGCGGGGGAGCTGGGGAACGAAGCGGAGGGAGGGGGAGTGGTGATGGTGGGCAACGGAGTGGTGGTAGATGTAGAGCGGTTGAAAGCAGCTCAATACGATGCATGGATGGTGAGCTATCCGCTTTCCGCCAAGTCGGCGTTGCCTCCCCCATCCCCTTCTCCCTTCTTGCTTCTCCCCTCTCCCTCTCCCTCCCAAACATACCTCCGTTCGTCTAGCCCTTCCCCTCTCGCCCGTTTCGCCCCAATTGCGCGCATTCCGCGCATTTACCCGTCCTCGGTTGATGAAACATCAGCCTTCCCCCACTTCCGGCCATTCAGTGGTTTCCCCCTCACCCCCTTACCCTATCACCGTCCCCTCCGCTCCTCCTCCCTTTATTCCTCTCCGCCTTCCTCCGCTCCTCCTCCCTTTTCCTCTCCGCCCAACCTCCTCTCCGCCCAACCTCCTCTCCTCCCCCCCGCAGCTGAAGCACCCCTCCGCGCTCGCGAGTTTCGACCGCCTAGCGGCACTAATGGAGGGGCGGCAGGTCGCGGTGTTCCTCGATTACGACGGCACGCTGTCCCCGATAGTGGACGACCCCGATAAAGCCTATATGAGCTCTGCGGTACGACCCCGCGGCGCCCATCCCTGATAGCGTAATCGTTAACTCGCTCGCCTCTGCGGCTCGTTCCCTTAGCGCTCCAACAGGACTGCCGGATCGGGGGACGGGCGGACGAGCGGATGTTCGGACTTGCGGACTGGCGGACTGGCGGCTTGACGGACTGGCGGACTGACGGTTTGACGGACTGGTCGACTGGCGGACTGGTTGGCTGTCCCTGCCATCGGCCTTCCGTCCAGCTCCTTCCCCCTTCTTCCGCCTCCCCCACCGTCGCCCCACCCCCTTTTAGCGTGCATGGAATGGCGCTTCCTAACACAGCTTAGCCACTTCCTGCAAAACGCTTAACCTCTTTCTTTTCCCGGCCACTCCGCCAATCACGCTACATTTCCTCTCTATCCGCCCCCAGCTTCCTTCCCCGCCCCTCCACCTTCTCGCCTTCCCTTTCCCTATTAACCGCCGCCCTCCCCAACCAAAACGCGGGAATCCCCACCCAACCCCCCTCCTTTCCCCCGATCTTTCTCCCGCGTCAGATGCGCGCGGCAGTGCGCGGCGTGGCTGCGCACTTCCCCGCGGCTATCATTAGCGGGCGCGGGCGCGAGAAAGTGCTATCATTTGTTCAGCTGCCCGAACTCTACTACGCGGGCAGCCACGGGATGGACATCATGCTGCCCGCGCGCAAAGGGGAAGAGGCGGACGCGGAGGGGGAAGCTGAAGGGAACGCGGAAGAGAACGGGGTAGGGGGAGGGGGAGATGGCGGAAAGGGGAAGGGGGGAGGGAGCAAGGGCGTGCACGTGCAAGGCGCGCAGAGTGTGGACGAGAGGGGGCATCACGTGGTGCTGTTCCAGCCTGCTAGCCGGTTCGCTGGGCTCATGAGTCAGGTGCGCGCGGTCGGAATTGACTCAGCAAGTCGAGAATTTCGAAGTCGTGTCGAAACTCGAATTTGACCTGGCTGGCCTTGATTGGTGTCCGCGAAAGTGAGTGTTGCGCTTATTTAGTACAACTAGTTGCGTTTTCAGTAAGTATTTTCCTGGTATCATTCACGAAGATACGGTCAAAAGGTCTGTTTGTGAAAGGTGTTTCAGCCAGAGTTTAGCTCGAAAGGCTCGTCAACTTAATTCCTGCATTGATGTGGTGGCGGCCGGGTCTCTGGCCTCTTGATCCCTATGTGGCCCACATCAACATGGACGACAGGGAATGGGGCATGGAGCATGGGCCATGGGCCATGGGGCATTTGGTTGGGGCATGGGGTATGGGGTATGGGGCATGGGGAATGGGGCATGGGGTATGGTGCATGGGGGCATGGTGCATGGGGGCATGGTGCATGGGGCATTGGGGCATTGGGCATGGGGCACGGTGGTGGGGCATGCTGGCATGGGATATGGGGTATGGGGTATGGGGCATGGACTAAGGACTATTTATTGCCCCTCACTCACACACTGCTGCTTGTCACTGTCCCTCTCTGCCCTTCCCCCTTCGCGCCCCTCCTCCCCTTCCCGTGCTACCATTCCCACCAATACGATCCTGCGTGGTGGTGTGTGGTTTGGAGCGGTGCGCAGGTGTGCGATGAGCTGAGGGAGCGGTTGAAAGGGGTGCAGGGGGCGCACGTGGAGAACAACAAGTTCTGCGTCAGCGTGCATTTCAGACGCGTGCCTGAGGAGGTGAGGGGCCGAGGTGGGCGTGTGTCGTGCACACGCGCACTTACTTACACATACATGTGCATGGGGATGTGGGGGGAGGGGGAGAAGGTTATGTGTGTGGATGGCGGTGTGTGTGGGTGAGGGTATGTGTGTGTCCGGGTGCATGCGCATGTGCATGCGTGTGTGTTTGTACAAATGCTACTGCTCAGTACGCCTCAACACTCGACATATGCTGAGCAGGCTCTACATTTTTTAGACGCCTCAGCCACACTCACCACACCTTACTCTCACACGCCTCACTCTCACACGCCTCTTGCTGATCGAGATGACTTTTGAGTCGACTCAAAAGTCACCTCTTGCTGATTGGCACGTGCTGATAAGGGCGTATCTTTGGTTCCGTTCATGAGCACTGTTCATTCTATTGTTTGGGTCATGCGGAAATTGCGCATGACCCGAAGTGGGCTGCCGAGCCGCGCGCGGCCCCAGCTTTGGGTCAATGTGCAGGTGTTGGGCGACTGACGTGCACGACCCACTCCCAACCAATCACCTGGTTGCACGATTCACGTTAGACTGCCATCTTTTTGGCGGTCGTCAGTACTGTTCCACAAATTTGCAATGTACCGAATCCTACACCTCTGCATCCAACCACTCGGCAAATTGACCCCAGTGACCCAAGAATGTGTCTAAAATTTTCCCGCGTCGCGCTCCCAACATTTGGGGATTCACGCCAACATTTTTTACGATTGTGTTTTGCGTGGGTGTCGCAAATGAACTTTCGAACTGTGGTGGCATCCCTCCATTGGATGCGACTGTTGTTCTTGGTGTAATTTTGGCGCGAAAAGCCTCGCGCCAATTTGGGGGTCGCATGAGTTCCGAGAACCCAAAGTGGTGTTTTGTGTTGTTCCGGGCATCCGCAATTCGCGCATGCCTGGAACAGTGCTCATGACCCGAACCTGGATACGCCCTAAGTTGCTGTGTTGTGACCAACCCATTGCTCTCCCTGCTGTTCCACCTCCTCCTGCTCGTCCTGCTCTCTCTGCTCTCCCTGCTGCACTCCCTTCAACGAAACCTGTGCTGCTATTGTTGCCAAGCCCTCATGCGCCAAGCCCTCATCCGCCAAGTGATCCATCTCCCCCTCCCTCTGTCATGTGGCCTCCTGCGGTCACAACAATGGTGGCATGGGAGCAACGCTTATCGCTGGCAACGGTGGTGGTGGCGGCGATGGTGTGAACAGCTGTGGGAGGAGCAGGCGGAGGTGGTGACTCAGTTGGTGGCACAGCACCCCGAGCTGCGCACCAGCCATGGCAGGAAGGTGCGTGCGTGGGCCCCGTCGGTTTAACAATCGCCTCTCTGAGACTGGTTGACTGCATTGACTGAACTGTGGCAAAAGTAGAACCAGGGCGGGAGAAGGGTGTGTGGGTGGTGGTCCAGTCACAGTTGCTTTCCATGGTCCCTTGATTTTGTCATGCTCTGAGTGCTCCATACACACACAGCGCACACAGTCCCACCCACCACGGCCCAGTATTCTCGCTCCTACTCTACAGTCTGTCCGCTCCCCTCAGCTTCCATCCCCTCGCGTCCGCACCTTACTCCGCCCCTCACCATGTACTTGGCCATGCATGCATCCAACACATCCCACACCCCACCACACACGCCCCACGGGGCATCAGGTGTTGGAGATCCGGCCAGTGGTGGACTGGGACAAGGGCAAGGCCGTCGCCTACCTCCTCACCACCCTCGGTAACTCCTGCTCGCTTGCCACACTGCTCCCTCCCTCGCTTTCTCCTTGTTTTCTTGTGCGCCATCCCTCCTCTGCGCTGCGCCGCTCACTCTCCTGCCCTTTCTCACCGCCTATGAATAGCTCTTCAACTCTCCGCCGATTCATTTGATTTGGCCCATCCATCTGCCACTCCCGATCCCCTCCCGCTCCCTCTCCCCTTCAACCCTCCCATCACCACCCTCCCTCATTATTCAGTCTTAAATAACCTCCCTCCTCTCCTCTCCTCTCCCCTCCCCCTCCCCTCTCCTCTCCCCGCCCCCTCTCCTCTACTCTCCCCTTCCCCTCTGCTCTCCTCCCCCCTCCTCGCCATGCCACGGCACGCCATGGGCAAAGGGCTGAGTGGCGACGACTCAGTGCTGCCGGTGTACATTGGAGACGACCGCACCGATGAAGACGCCTTCAAGGTAACCTCCCTCACCTCACTCACACTGAGACGTTCTGCTGCCTGCCGTGTAAGATGCTGCTGGCTGGCTGCCGCGTGGGATGGCTTCTCTTAATCAATGTAATCCCTCCCACCTCTCTCATCTCTCCCATCTCCCTCCATCTCTTCTCATATCCCCCAAAACCCCCCCATCTCCACAAATTTCTCCCCAATCTCCCTCCATTTCCCCCATCTCAACCAATCTCCCCCCAACTTCCCCCATTTCCCCCATCTCCACCCATTTCCCTCATGACCCCTCATCTCCCTCCATCCTACCCCCGGCCCGGGTGCACCAGATGCTGCAGGAGCGGGGGTCGGGGTGTGGCATCATAGTTTCCGCAGCACCCAAGCCATCTGCTGCTACCTTCTCGCTCAGAGATCCCTCCGAGGTGAAGCAGAACAGACCATGCAGGGAGGGATGGGAAGTGGTGGGGAGTGGTCAGAGAGGTGGTGGGGAGGGGCAGGGTGGGCTGGGGCGGAGTTGAGAGGGGTGGAGAGGGGTCGGGTGGATGTGGTGGGATTGGGATTGGGTTTGATGGTGTGCTGGGACGAATGTTGGAAGTCCAACGAGAGTCCCATTGTGCCGAGTCATACAGTGCACATCAGGCTGTGCCCATTGTTCGGTTTGAGGGATTACACTACCGGTGGTGCACGCATGTGTCGACCCATGCCTCCCCCATCTGTGGTTTTCCCTGTGAGTGAAAATTAATTGTTTAGTCACTGGATTTGAAACAGGGACCATTCCTTGTCTCTCATCTCCCTGCTCTCCCTCCCCTCCTTCCTCTCACTCCTCTCCCTTGACTCCTTCCTTTCCCACTCTCTCCCCCTGTCCCTCTCCTTCCTCTCCATCGCCTCCGTCCGCTTCCTCCTCTCTCCCTCTCCCCCCGCTCCCTCCACTCCTCTCCCTTCTCTCCCTACCCGCCCTCCTCTCCCTCTTGTCCATGCTGTCGCACCAGGTGATGGATTTTCTGCAGAAGCTGGTCAAGTGGAAGGAGCAGCAGCAGCAGCACCAGTAGCAGGTGGACTTTTGATCAGGGTTGCTTCAATAAGCGTTAACATATTTTTGGCATCATTCTTGGCTTGGTCGGCCACAATAATATGAACGCTCTTACGCGGGTGTTACTGTAAGAGCTGAATGGTGGGGAAGAGCTGAGCACATTCCATATCACAAACTGGAGTGTACCACACCGTTGACGGCCTGTGATTTGACAGGACGACGTGGCGCGTTATACACTTTATTCGTCCGGTTAAGTGAAAGTGCTGAACCCTTTATGCTCAATGACGCAAATGGTGGCGACTGCTACATGCTGAATCGAAACCTCGTACCTAGGATTGGAGAAATAGGAGGTGGATTGGTGGCTTGTGGATAGACCGTTCTCATTAAATTTATGTTAATAGAGCCCCAACTGAAAAGTACGAATACTGTAGCTAGGTTGGAGGCTTTCTAATATTTGTAAAAATCTTATGGGAGATTCTCGAGGCAAGCGCTGATATGCGCCATCCGTACTTGTCCGACACGTGGAATTCAATGCCCAATTCCTCCACTCGCATTAGCCGAAGTTTGCTGGCGAATCTTTCGAGGCTTCAATCACTCAGCTCGCAGGTCGCGCTTTCCTTCCAATAATATACCGTCACGTGTAGGTGCGAAGATTGATCCAATTCGAGGGTCTCAGATTTTGCAACGTGGATGCTTTGCTAACGAAACCCGCTTTGCTCCTAACTAGGAGAGGTAACTTCGTGACCTGGATTCGCTTAATAGCAAAGCACATCGCATGATGTTTTGCTCCTTCAACTCAGGGACAAGGGACAACATAAATTCCTCACCCACAAATTCTTTGTGCTTCTCTGCAATCCGTGATTTGCTGTCTTCGTGCTCTTGCTTTTTACTCTTCTGCCACATTGTACCTTGCATTTCCAGTAATCAGTAACCTTGACAATTAGCAACCTTCGCGTCATGGCTGCCGTTTCTTGTAGTCTACCCACTGCTTCTGGCTTCACGGTTTCGCGTGATCGCATCAGCCCTGCGAGGTACCTCCAAATCCAGTTCTGAGTGCTGCGTCGCTGCTATTTCCCAATCCTTTCCACCTTACCTCGTCGCTGGCTCAATAAATGACCTTATTTACGTCACCGCATGCGAAATCCCTTGCAGCCGCGTCACGTCCGTTCGGCCACTTACTAGCATCGCGCCTTTCCGAGTCGCCAGCACATCAGTGGCTGCGAGGCGGCCACTGGTGGTGGCGGCGACAGCTACTGAGACGAAGACTTCAGGTGCGTGGTTCCTCGTTTTCTGCGAGGCGCTAGTTAGGAGGTGCGAAGCGCGCTTGGGCACTGGTTAGTAGTGATCCACTTCGTCTCGCTCGTGAGTGTTAACACACTAGTGGAAGGCAATAACGCGCTCCTTTTTGCCCCGAAGTGCGCAGCAATGCCTCCCTCGAGCGACATTCCTCTCCGCTGCCCTTCACCGCAACCTTACGGGGCTTTAGCGAGGATGCTTTAGGCTCCTCAAATGTTTCCATCTTAATCTTACGACGCTAGTGTGTCGTGAATATGGGTGTTGAAGGATTCTTGTGAGTCCGCTCCAGAGCTCCTCTCAACTCCTTTCCACCCCTTTCCATCCCATCCCGCTCTTCTGCTCTTCGTCGCCGCACAGGGAAGGTCGACTGGATAAACAAGCGAAGCTTCCTCGTGAAGAACAAGGTACGTACGAACGCATGGGTAACATGACGCCCGTTGATATATATATTGTTTTGTGAGTTTAAACGAACGAATGAACCCCACGATGCAGAAATCCCGAGGAGAAAGTCGTCCCGCTCGTTAGAACGCGTGACCACGCCGCCATAGCCATGCGGATTGCCCTCCGTGTCTCTCCCTTTAAAACGCGGTCCATAACGTAAACTCAAAACATCCGTTGAAATAACCACGCGAAAGAGCGTCTTTGGTGGTGCCCTGCTGCAAGCAATCACGGAGCAAGCGCGTGCTCTTCATGTCGCGTCAAAAAACCCGCCCTCCTTTCCATCATTCTTCCCCCACAAACCTCCATCCCCCCGCCCCCCCTCCCCGCCCTTCCAACCCCCTTCCTCTCTTTCTTTCTCGCCCGCTCTCATCCCCTTCCCCAGGTGGTTGGCGTGCAGCCCGCGGAAGCCGCGCGCCTGGCGAAGGAGGAGGGCCACGTCATCATTGACGTCAGAACAGTGGCGGAGTACAACGAGGTGGGGCACGCGGGGCGATGGTGACGGCGGAAGGGGGGGACGGCGGAGAAGGGGGGAATGAGGGGGCGGGAGAGAGATCTTGCGGTTGGTATGAACGTGGATGAAGCATCTTTGGCACTCTACCTGTTTTTCTTTTCTTCCTCCCCCAATCCCTCAACGTTCTCTATTCTTCAGCCTTCCCCGTCCTTCCCCATTCCCCCTTCTCGAGCATCCCCTCCCCTATCCCCTCCTTAGCCACCTCTTCTCCTCCCGCCCTTACATTCTCACCTCTCCCCTGCGCCCCCCCACCTTCTCATCCCCGCTCCCACCCTTTACCCACTCCCACCCCACTCTCTCCGTCACCTCCGCCCTCCCCAACCCCCCTGGTCCCCCAAACTGCGCCGATCCGTGCGCGCACGCGCGCAGGTGCACCCCGAGGGCCCGGTGGGCGTGGAGTTGTATCGGCTGATCAAGGAGCTGGGTTTTTCAGGATCCGAATGAATCGACTTGTATCCCGTGCATGCTCATTGCCCTCCCCATACCACGTGCTGCCCTTGTGCGCGCAGGTGCACCCCGAGGGCGCGGTGGGCGTGGAGTTCTACCGGCTGATCAAGGAGTGGACGCCGTACCACGTGCTGCGCCGCGCCGCCTTCGCCTTCTTTGGCGTGCTCAACGGCACCGAGGAGAACCCCGAGTTCCTCAAACGTCAGTCCTGCGCGCTGCATAGTGGCACTGCTGCTGGATGCGGAAAATGGAGAGGGGAGAGGAGGGCAAACGGGGAGAGGAGGGGAAGAGGAGAGAGGAGAGGACGGGGGGAGAGGATGGGAAGAAGGGAGGGGAGAGGAAAGGGGAGAGAGTTCTGTGCAGGGGGATGTAAGATGAACCCACCTCCTTGCCCGTGAGAGCTCCATCCTGTCGAGGGATGGAAAGAGAATGCTCGTTGCTTGCATTTGAGTTCCATACTCACCAGCCCCGCTCCTCGTCCCAACTCCCCTTCCTCGTACCCCCTTTCTCCTCCCAACTCCCCATCCGCTTACTGGGCTCCCCTTCCACCCACATTTCCCCTGACCCCCCTCCTCCCATACTCGGCAAGCAGAGGTGGAGGCAGCAGTTCCGGACAAGGAGACCCCAATCATCCTTGCGTGCATGCCGGGCGGCACACTCAAGCCCACCCAGAACTTCCCGTACGGCAAGGAGTCGAGGTGAGTGGTTGCAGGATTTTATTTTAGCTGCTTGTGCGGCGAAGTTGGGAAAACTAGTTTTTGTTATTTTTTTGAGAGAGAGAGAGAGAGAGAGAGGGAGATAGATGTCCAATGGCATTGGGTGGGTGGGTGGGTTTGGTTGTATTTGTGGTGCGTGGAGTGGAACAGGTGGGTTTAGCAACTAGGAATCCAAGACACTTACACACCCGCAGATGCACGCAGAGCAATTCAAGAAATATGATGATCGCTCTCCCTTTTTGTTGCACACCCATCATGCCATGGCACCTTCGCCCCGCCCGTACGCATGTGCAGGTCTTTAAATGCCGCTAATGTGCTTGTGAAAAATGGGTACAAGAATGTTCGCCACATCGAGGGTGGGGTGTACGACTACCTGAAAGCGAACCTCCCAGTGGAATATGTTGAGTGATCTCGTGATGGTACAGCCATGCCAGAAGTAGAGAGCAGTTGTTGGCATGTTAACCAGGCCTGTCATTCTGTGTACATTATGTAACCAATTATTACAGAATTTACTTCCATACGAGTGGAAGACTGCCCCTGCTGATACAACTCAATCCACCCAGTATTCCGTCGTACCTCGAATGGTTTCGGGGGATAGCTGATTCATTGGCCTTAGTACAGGAACGTAAGCAGCTGCAGAATGTATATTGCCACATCCTTTTCAAGCTTCTGTACATTTTGAGAGTTCAGATAGTAACGCATTCAAGTAACGCTGTGGGTAGCGACGGCCAAACCAAGCTACACTTCCAAGCCAATTCGCAACTGTAAGGAAAATTCCTTTTCCTTACTTCGCGTCCCCGCTCAGCGCGTACACCACTGTAGCCCAGGCCTCTCGTTATCAGGGTGAAATACCCTTTTAGCACTGACTGGCGGCCGCTTTTTTCCAGTTACCCTTTCACAGGCAGGGTAGTGGATTTTTTACCCTAGGCCAGAAAGTGTAAGTTTTTCAACACCCCTTAAAAAACAGCATAAGGAACACATTACTCTGACTGTACAATGTACAATCCCAGCGATACTGGTACTGAGTGCTCCGTAGCAAGACGAAACACTGTACAGGTCCCTGCAAAATGGTTCAACTATTAAGATTTGTTCTTACGACAAATCTAATGCGCAAATGAGTCAGCTGAACTACTAGCCATGCGAAACTTCGGGTTTGCACAGGAAATGCTCGCGACGACACTAGATGGGCACGACATTTTACTAGGACGTGATTGGCTGCGACGATACAACCCGAAAATTGACTGGACGACAGGAAACTGCACTGTGCGAAGTAGTGGTAACTGGATCGAACTACCTCGCTGGCAGTCGCCTGGGTCTTCAACGGTCCACGTCAACGCCATCTCGATGAAACGGGCAATCGCCGCTAGAGCTGACGTATACGCAATGGACATTGCCGTAGTAGAAGAAGCAGAGCAGCCGAGCGATTTTCAGAAACTGTTAGCAGCAGTATCGCCCGAACTACAGGAACTGTTGAAACGATACCCCGGGATTTTTCCGGACGACTTACTAGAAGGACTGCCACCTCAGCGGGCACATGACCACTGCATAGAATTAGAATCGGGGGCCCAGCCAACTGTACAGCGACAATTCCGACTGACACAGCCACAGCTCGACAAACTTAGGAAGCAGTTAGATTTCCTGTCAGAGAAAAAATTCATCCGGCCGAGTTCGTCACCGTTCGCCGCACCGATACTGTTCACACCGAAAAAAGACGGGGGTTTTCGCATGTGTATCGACCACAGAGCACTGAACAGGGTAACAGTCGAGTCGCGGTACCCCATTCCCCGCGCCGACGAACTGATCGACCAACTGCAAACAGCACGGGTTTTTTCGAAAATAGATTTAAGGAGAGGTTGCCATCAGATTAGGGTTGAGCCATCGAACTGTGCCAAAACAGCTTTCAGGACTAGGTACGGGTCGTACGAGTACACTATGATGCCATTCGGGCTGACCAACGCACCAGCGACTTTTCAGATGACCATGAACGAGGCGTTAAGGCCGCTTTTAGATAAATGCGTGATAGTTGACCTCGACGACATCCTCGTCTACAGTCGCGACAAGCAATAGCACTTAGCAGGTCTGGAAGTAGTATTTAAGATTTTAGACGAGCATCGGCTACTGACAAAGGGTTCCAAGTGCGAGTTCTTTCAGGATAGGTTAGAGTTTTTGGGGCACGTTATTTCGGAGGCTGTGGTCGAAATTGACCCAAAGAAGTTAGACACGGTAAAAGCTTGGCACCCCCCGACGAATATTACGGAACTGCAGAGTTTCTTAGGGTTCGTAAACTACGTGTGTCGGTTCGTCCCCAACATGGCACGGTTGACGGCACCACTGACAGAATTATCATGGAAGGGGGTCGTTTTTACGTGGGGGGAGAAAGAGCATGCTGCCTTCTCTGCCCTTAAAATTGTTCTCTGTTCACCGCCCGTCCTGCGCATCGCTGACCCACACCGCCCATTCGAAGTAGTTACTGACGCCAGCGATATCGCCATCGGAGCCGTACTGCTACAGGACTTCGGCAACGGCCTACAACCCATCGCATACGAATCACGAAAACTGCATCCGCCCGAAAAAAATTACCCGATACACGACCGCGAAATGCTTGCGATCGTGCATGCGTTCAAAGTGTGGCGCTGTTACTTGAACGGCGCAGACGTGACAGTACGGACAGACCATAAATCACTTCAGTACCTTCGCACACAGCTACACCTCAACCCACGACAGATTCGTTGGCTCGACTTCCTCGAGTCAAATTTTCACTACACGGTCACCTACAAAAAGGGAGCCTCGAACATCGCCGACGCACTGACCCGCCCCACTGCCCAGATCCACGCAATACTACTCGCCCAGACAAGCCCACTACTGACAGGCCTATTAACCCACGGGTACCAAACGGACCCATTCTTCACAGGAGGAAATTCGCAGCTGTTCGCAGCAGCAAGGGGAGTCTATTACGTAAAAGCCGGGACCGACCGCATTTGGGTGCCTGGGTATACACTGCTACGGGAATTACTATTACATGAGGCACATGATGGAGTCACCTCGGGGCATTTCAGAGTAGAAAAAACACGGCAGCACCTGGAGCGGTATTATTACTGGCCCGAAATGTTGACCGACGTACAACGAGACGTGGCATCGTGTCCCACTTGTCAGCTTATGAAATCATCAAGGCAGCGGCCGGCAGGACAGTTGCAGCCGATACCACCTCCAGAGTGTGCTTGGTAGCAGGTGATGGACTTTGTCACGGAGTTACCGGCCGGGGCGAGTGGGAACGACGCGATCCTGGTCGTCGTCGATCGACTGACGAAAATGGCACATTTCACAGCCTGCAAAAAATCAATCACAGCCGAAGAAACGGCACGACTCTTCACCTCCACCGTCGTTCGACTGCACGGGATACCAGCAGCAATAATCAGCGACCGCGACACGAAATTCACCAGCAACTTCTGGCGGAACTTGTGGCAGCAGTTCGGCATGCGACTGCAGTTCAGTTCATCATACCATTGTGAAAGTGTACTTAGGCTGACTGGCAAAGGCAGCGTTATCATTTCATATGGGTTGTAGTACATCGTTCTCGTCTTATATATGTCTACATAACAGCATACACAAATGGGTGGGCGGGTGGGAAATTAGAACTACAATTTTGAAAATGAAAACGTGGGTGGGGACGAATGTCCCCACGTCCCTCTTTTGTAGGCAAAAGAGGGTGAGTAGCGCTTCGGCGCTACCTTTGCTGTGTTGGCCACGTACCCCTTTTCACAATACAAAATTTTAGAAAGTGTTACATTTCATTACACTTTCAAAAATTATCATATTGTGAAAGTGTACTTAGGCTGACTGGCAAAGGCAGCGTTATCATTTCATATGGGTCTTCTGAGGCAAGTGCAGTCGGGGCTGCCGGTGGCGTTCGATGGATAGCTGATGCGTAGCGGGCGAGGGAGCGGTCGAAGGATCCTGCAATTGCGTAGAGAGGGAGATGAGCTGATCCTGCGCGATTGTAACATACATCTCCTTCGCGCTGTCGCTGCGCCATCGGCCCATGCGTTTGAAGAGCCGGTCAGGAACTCCGGGGCTCGCCGCTGCAGTGGCTGCGCCTTTGCGGAATGAGTGGGTTCCGATGTGCGCGACATCCAGTCCAGCTTGCCTGCCGGCTGCGAGGCACCAGTTTCTGATCGTAACGTAGGATGGCGATTTGTTGTTCGGTGTGGCTTGTGAGTTCTTTGGGAAAACCCTTATCAGCGGTCCATGGGGCACCTTTGTGAGGCCTGCGATGTGTATGAATGCGCGCGTGCACCTCACCGGGCAGTATGGGCCTGGAATTGCCGCCACGGGGATCCAGACTCCCCTCCCCTCCTGGTCCGTCTTGGAGTGCGGAATGAGCAGCCACATTGCCTTCTCCTCGAACAGTACGTCATTCCATTGGAGCGAGACGAGGTCGGAGTAGCGCAAGAATGCCGAAAACATGAGAAGAGGAATCAATCCTTTTTGGTATTTCGCAGGAATTGATGTTTCGAGGAAGGGACGAGCCATGTCGTGCACTTGATGGAGAGATATGGGCTCTTTGGTTCTTGTAGGGCGGGGACCATGTCTCTTGGCGAACTCCCGCACTTGCAGGGTGAGTGGGCCGGCGGTAGGGGAGGTTTCGCCTGTCATGCGGTGGGCAAAGGCTACTGCCGAACACGTGAGGTTGATCGCGGAGAGAGTTGCTTTGTTGTTGAGCGCATGGATGAGATACAGCGCTAGCGTCAGGTCGGTTGCCGGGAGGAACTCAAGCTTAACTTGGGTACAGAAGGTGCGAAATCTCTGCCAATAAGGTTGGTACGTCTCGATTGTAGATGGTGCGCGAGCGTGGCTAATTACGTGCAGCAATTGTTGCTTTAGTTTGGCCAAAAGTCCTGAAATGACACATTGAGAAATTGTTATTAGACTGCATAGTTTACACGCAAAGCAATGATTGGGCTATGAGGCAATCCGAGACCAGAGAATGCAGCTGTGTGTGAACCTGCCCGAAGGCATTGACTGCCTTGGGCAAGGGAAAGGTGCTCGACTACTGCTGGAGCCCACGATTGAGTGGACGGTTGAAGAAGCGGCCACCATGACGCTCCGGTCCACTGGGGAACGACGAGCGTGAGTTCTGTCTGCGTCAGTTCCGCGTGGCGGAGTGTAGCGTGAATTAAGTGTGGAGGCGGGAAGGCAAAGCATCGCTCGCCTTTCCACGAGATGGAAAATGCGTCGACGGCGAATGCGTCGGGGTGCGGTATCTTGGAGCAGAAGCGCTGAACGTGATTGTTCTGAACGTTAGCAAAGAGATCAATTGTGTGAGGCCCCCAGCGTCGTTCCAAGAGGCGAAACCAAGGTGCATGTAGGGAGTAGTCGTCAAAATCTTGCATCTTGGATAGGTCATCCGCA